TGTCTATGTATCTATGTATGTATGTATGTATGTATGTATGTATGTGTAGACATATGTATATATATATATACCTCTAATTTTATCCAGTTACATATGTAGACGCATGTACCTGTATAGTTTGTCTTGCACACACATGCATTAAGCGACGCTTTTTTTAGGCCGCAGCAACCAACCCAGGTGAAGGGCGGCAAGCCGTTGATGTCCTAAACCCTAAACCCTATAAACCCTAAACCCTGACCTTAAACCCTAAACCCTACACCCTAAACCCTAGACCCAGGTGAAGGGCGGCAAGCCGTTGATGTTCGGCTTTCGTGAGCGGGGCCTCGGGGAAGGGACCGAGGCGACAGACGCGGAGGCTTGAGTGGAAAGGCTTTCGGTGCGTCCAAGATTTGCCGTAGTGGCTTGAATACTTACTTGGTAATACTATTTTTAAGGGCTCCTTATCTATATACTTCTAAGAGCCTTGTTCGAATTATACAGGCCCCGATTTCACATGTTGTGTTATTCCGGTTTCACTCCTCGTCTCACTGCTCCCACTCGCGATGTGCATCTTGCATGGCCGCCAGCTTGGGAAACTCGATGTGCTATTGATTTGGAAAGTTTCGGTCCCACACCCTACTCCCCCTAGCCCGAAGCCCTGAGTCTCTAAAGCCAACACCCTGCACGGCCCCCAAGCCCTAAATCCTGAATCTATAGTCAAAGCATTGCCCTGCTTCGCGGGTCCCGTCCTAGCCCAGCGGGGGGCAAAAGCCCACTGCAGAGTTAGAGATTTGGGTTTAGGATTTGGGGATTACGGCTTTCGGGTCTTGGTCTTGGTGTTGGCGTTGTTGTGTGTCCCTAACCCCCAGGTACCTACTATATAGGGCCCTAGGGGCTCTAGTAATGTATATAGTAGGCAGCATTCGTATAAACCACATACGTACATAAACATAGACGTACCCACACACATACGTACTTACCCACCTACACTCATACACACACACATATGAATATATATATATATATATATATATATATATTTACATATTATATATATATATGTAAATAAATAAATTATATATATATATATGAAGACTTGTTGATATATTTATATATATATATATATACGAATAATTAAGTTTATACATACATATACATACACACATGGAAATATATGTACATATACACACGCACACACACAGACAGGCGCACACACACACATGCATATATATATA